GTCACACGATAGATCATAAAAAATAATGTCAAAGATAATATACATATAACATGATCCACAAACTCTGACCTTTAGGGGCGCCATGTGAACCTATACAACCATCAAATTCCTTAATATATTCTCTCTTTCAAGTATGAAGATTATGTAGGCCTAAAATCTTTTGTCTATTTCGTCACCATAAATTCTATAAGAATTATTCTTGGTGTATAAAGAGTTTCTCACAGCACCCCCACATAACACTCACAAACGAGGGTGGGGAATTTTATTTTTTTTTACTTTTTTTATTAAGGTGTGTCCCATGTGGGCCCCTCTTTTGTGAGTGTTTTGGGTGGTTCTGTGTGAGAACCCATGTACATCAAGAATAATTCATTTTATAATGCAAGTTGCCCCCAGGGCACATCTCCAAATGGTAAAAGAGGAAGGTGGAAAAACTCCAACTTTGTTTAAGGCTATCGCGTCAAGGGTTCGAATCCTGAAATATGGATTTGACCATTGGGTAATTACAAGTGTAAAAGCAGCATTCCACCATGTATCATTGGAGGCATAACCTGCGATTTATCTCCTTCACCAAGGCCTAGGACAAGACGGGTGGGGGGCAACCAATGATGCAGTTTATCCTTTTGTATAATGCAAGTTCAGAAGAATATTCTATTTAATATTCGATTGTGGTCATTTCCACTTTCTATAGTTGCGTTTCTTGAAGTTCTCATATAAAATTAAATTGGTTTTTTACTTTTATGGCAGGTAGAAAAAGTTGGGGGCCGTTCTCTTTGTGTTTCAATTTTCCGTTTTGAGTTTTGAATTCATTTTGTATTTTGTGTTTTGAATATCCATTTTGAAAATATTGAAAACGCATTCTTTTTGTTATTTTGTAAAATTATTTCTCAAAACACTTAAACCAAACCCGTTTACATTGTTTTTCATTTTTCCCCTTCTCCAGCCGAATAACGCCCCTCCAGGCCACCGTCTTCTACCTCACAAACCGACCACCACCCACCAGCTAGACCACCAGATTCCAGCATCAATCGAACTCCCTGACCTCCCTCTACAAAATCAAGCCGCCTTCAATTATCTCCAGATTCCAGCATCAAGCCGCCTTCGATTATCTCCAAAATCAGCTGATTTTCAGGAAACCGTCGATGAGTTTTGAAGTCATGGCTGGAGTCGTCTGGCCTGATTTGAAGTCATGGCTGGAATTTCATAACGAGGTGGAAAGTTGAGACAACTACCCTGATTTTGTTAAGTAGTGGCCTCCCCAGGATGGCGTTGTAGGCCATTGAAGTATGAACCACTTGGAATGATGTAATTTCAGTCATCCGCTTCTCATCCGATCCCAGCGTGAGTGGAAGGTCAACGATACCTTCAGGAATGATCGTACCCCCTC